GGAAGTGGTGCTGTGGCTCAAGTGGTAGAGCGCTAGCCTTGAGCAAAAGATGCTCAGGAACAGTGCCCAGGCCCTGAGTTCAAACCCTAGCACTGGCAAAAAAACAAAACAAAAATGAATTGCTAAACCATAATCTGGTTTTTAAAAGTACTAAAAGCAATTACAACCTGAGAGCACCCATCCCGGAAGACCACACTGACACAGTCACATCCAGCAGGAGTTTATTGTCAGCAAGGGCACTTCTCTCATGGAGTGGGAGAAATGGATCCTATCTTTGTTCAGGGTGTGTGTGTGTGTGTGTGTGTGTGTGTGTGTGTGTATGTGTGTGTACACACATATATATTCATATATACATATATATGTATATAACCTAGAAGAGCTAAGGAGGGAATTCACGTGGGACTTGGGAGCAGAGGAATTCATTATGGTGGGCTAAGATTTACGGCAGCTGCCTGAATAGGAGATAAGGGGGTCTGCTGTTACCATTCATGGCTGACCAAATGGAATGTTACTTCAAGGTGAGAGGGAAGGTGCTGATCATCAACTACCTGCTCCAAAGGGACCCCTTGTCAGCCAATGTGGGGAAAGGAGTATGTCAGGCTAACACAACCTCTTTGTACAACTATTTAATAATAAAATTTAAAACTTCTTTTAAAGTACTAAAAAAGCTAAGTATGATATGCACATAAATGCTGCTGATTGGGGAAGTTGAGGCAGTAGAATCACAAACTCAAGGGGTCTGGACAAAAGGACAAGACTCCATCTCAAAAAGAAAAATGACAGTGAGAAAAACTTTTTCCATCAAAGTATATTGCTTAAAATTTCCTGCTTTGGCCTAGTGTTTTGTCTCTTGTTGAGAAAAAGAGGAAATGCCTTGGGATAAGAAAGGATTTGTTTTTTTTTTATTCTGCTTATGTGGTGCTGAGGAATGGAACCCAGGGCCTCAAGCATGCAAGGCGAGCGCTCTACCACTGAGCCACCTTCCCAGCCCAAGAAAGGATTTGTAAAATGTAAGGTTTTGTCTTAAACTGGTTTCTTGTCAAGATGGAATTATGACACATGCTAGACAGTTCAAGAAAAACAGAGGGTGTGGGTATATTTTGAGATTACTTGTGAACTGCTAATCTTCTTTCAAAAATCACCTTATATAAATACTTTTACCCTATTCAGGCTAGCTAGTCTCCAGCAGATTGTGAACCTGAGCTCAACCAATCTGAGCAAAGGGGCAGGGCCTTCTGTGTGAGGGATAAATACTAGAGCAGACTGCCAGTTAAGTGTGCTTGCTTGCCGGGCACTGTCCCTCAGCTCTTCAGCTCAAGGCTAGCATTCTACCACTTGAGCCACAAGGCCACTTCTGGCCTTTTCTGCTTATGTGGTGCTGAGGAATAGAATCAGGGCCTCATGCATGCAATGTAAGCACTCTACCACTGAGCCACCTTTCCAGCCTGCTTGCCAGACTTTTAGCTGATGGCCTATCCTTCTGGTTTTTTTTTTTTCACCAGTGGTGGGGGCTGGGCACTGTCCCTCAGCTCTTCAGCTCAAGGCTAGCACTCTACCACTGGAACCACAGTGCCACTTCCGGCTTTTTCTGCTTATGTGGTGCTGAGGAATCGAACCCAGGACCTCATGCATGCAAGGCAAGCACTCTTCCACTGAGCCACCTTCCCAGCCCCTGGCCTACCCTTCTGCAGAAGTAAATTTTGCCTTGCTGAGGCAATTCTTTATAAAGAGAAATGAACTTAAAAATATTCAAAAAACAAAAAGAAAATATTCAGTGCCTATTTAACTTTTATTAAAATACTAATATTAGTATTTACCTTTATTTTTATTTGTGGGGTGGATGTGGCCCAGGCAGGTGTTAAATTTGCTAGTTCATGTGATCCTCCCAAGTCAGCTTCCAAACAGCTTGGAAGTATAGGCATGTACCACCACACTCCAACTAGAACTCGTTTTTTTTTTTTTTTTTTGGGTCCGGTTGTGGGGCCTGAACTCTGGGCCTGGGTGCTGTCCCTCAGCTCTTCAGCTCAAGGCTAGCACTCTACTACATGAGCCACTGCTCCACTTCCGACTTTTTTCTTTTTGCTTATGTGGTGCTGAGGAATCGAACCCAGGGCCTCATGCATGCAAGGAAAGCGCTCTACTACTGAGCCACCTTCCCAGCCCCAGAACTCAAGTTTTAAGAATGCAAGTCTGACTTTATAGTTTGGGTCTCAAAGTGAAAGATTCATAAGGAATCTGCCTGAAAGCAAACAATTCCCACAGCTGGAAAAGAAACAGCTTGAAGCTGGGCATAGGTGGCTCACACCTGTAATCCTAGCTACTCAGGAGGCTGAGATCTGAGGATCACGGTTCAAAGCAAGCCAGCCTGGGCAGGAAAGTCCATGAGACTCTCATCTCCAATAAACCATTAGAAAAAAACCGGAAGTGGCGCTGTGGCTCAAGTGGTAGAGCACTAGCCTTGAGCTGAAGAGCTGAGGGATAGTGCCCAAGCCCAGAGTTCAAGCCCCACGACCGACTCCCCCCAAAAAAAAGAAAAAAAAAAGAAACAGCTTGAGAAGACTCCTACAAAATGCATACTTTGCCTTCACCTCTTCATGTAAGTTGTTTGAAAATGGAATTTGCAGGCTCACTTTATTTCTTTTTTGCTTCCTTCCATTTCTTCTCTCTCTTGTGTTCAAGTAATCCTCTTGTCTGAGTGGCTAGGACTAGAAGCACATGCCACCGTGCCCAGATCTTAATGAATCTTATGTCCTTTGTATACAACATAACCTTGTCCTGTTGCTCACACACAGAAAGGCTTACTTTGTGGGGCTGGGAAGATGGCTCAGTGGTAGAGCACTTGCCTTGCAATGCATGAGGCCCTGGGTTCGATTCCCTAGCACCACATAAGCAAAAAGAAAAAAGCCGGAAGTGGTGCTGTGGCTCAAGTGGTAGAGCAGTAGCCTTGAGCTGAAGAGCTGAGGGACAGCACGTAGGCCCAGAGTTCAGGCCCCACAACCGGACCCAAAAAGGAAAAAAAAAAGAAAGGCTTACTTTGTTATTTTTCTGTTGGTTGTGGGGCTTGAACTTAGGGCCAGGGTGCTATCCATGAGCTCTTTGCTCAAGGCTAGCACTCTACCATTTTGAGCCATAGCACCATTTCCAGTGTTCTGGTGGTTAATTGAGGATAACTTTCACAGCCTTTTGTACCTGGGCTGGCTTTGAACCACAATCCTCAGATCTCAGACCCCTGATAAGAAACGCTTACTTTAAAAGACAATATGGGGGCTGGGAAGGTGGCTCAGTGGTAGAGTGCTTGCCTTGCATGCCTGAGGCCCTGGGTTCGATTCCTCAGCACCACATAAGCAAAAAAAGAAAAAAGCCGGAAGTGGCACTGTGGCTCAAGTGGTAGAGCACTAGCCTTGAGCTGAAGAGCTGAGGGACGGCACTCAGGCCCATAGTTCAGGCCCCACGACCGGATCCCCCCCCCCAAAAAAAAGCCCAAGGACAGTACCCAGGCCCTGAGTTCAAGTCCCAGGACTGGCAAAAAAAAAATACAGGGCTAGAAAGGTGGCTCAGTGGTAGAGCGCTTGCCTTGCATGCCAGAGGCTCCGGGTTCGATTCCTCAGCACCACATAAGCAAAAAGAAAAAAGCCGGAAGTGGTGCTGTGGCTCAAGTGGTAGAGCGCTAGCCTTGAGCTGAAGAGCTGAGGGACATCGCCCAGGCCCAGAGTTCAGGCCCCATGACCGGACCCAAAAAAAAAAAAAATACTAAAAGACAATATGGGCTGGGAATGTTGCTTAGTGGTAGAGCACTAACATGCATGAAGCCTGTGGTTTGATTCCTTAGTACCACATAAACAGAAAAGGTCAGAAGTGGCTCAAATGGTAGAATGCTAGTCTTGAGCAAAAGTGTCTAGACCCTTGGTTCAAGCCCCAGGACTGGCAAAAAAAAAAAAAGACAATACAAAATAAAAAGCCTAAGCTGTCAGGCTCAAAGATTTCATCATTGTTAGCAGTATTCCTCATAGCTGTACTATCATCTAAGTTTTCATAGCCTAATATTAGATTCCTGTCCTATTCAGATCACTGTGCCAGGCTTTTCAGTGAATTTCAGGCAGCTCTCTGAACTGAGTGCCTAAATGAGAAATATAAATGCACTATCTTTCATCATTTTCATATAGATAACACAGTGACAATCATCAATAGCAACAATATCATTTGTTTGCACAATATATATAGTGATCTTTGATACATATTAATTCTCACAAAAGTAATTACTGCTATATTATTTTTACCATTTTACAGATGATAAATATTATGGCATAACTGCACAGATGTATTATAATTAACCAGTTCGGTACTGGTAATTAATTTGGTTGAATTACAGGCATTGTTTTTATAGGGTTGCTTTTGTTGTCCATATGGTTTTTGTACTACAAGTTCTTATAATTTTGTTTTGTGTATTTATGAACATGTACCTATAACATACACTTAGAAGTGGTAGTCTTTTTAAATTTTAGTTAATTCCTTAACTTGCTCTGAGGTCTCAAATTTTGAGGCTGAGGCCTCAAATTTGACATTCTCCTGCCTCAGCTTTCCCAGTGGTAGTGTATCTACCACACCTGGCTTTAACGTTGTTTTTTAAAAAAAACTTAGGGCTCAAGGGCTGGTAGTATACTCAGTAGTAGAGCCTTTGCCTGTCATGAGTAAGGCCCTAGATTGGATCCTCAGCCCAGAAAACAATAATAATAATAACAACGACAGAACAACAAAAAAAAGAAAAAAGACTCAGTTTAACACTTGAGGTCTCACAAGAAAGGACTAAGATTCAGTTCTATAGAGTCTCATATTTCATTCTACATGCATGGTTACATAATTTTGTTTTGTATTTTTTTGGAAGTAGTGGAGTTCGAACTCAGGGTCTCTAATTTACTACATTACTGGGCCATACCTCTCTGGACCTCTATTACAAAGTTTTTCAATGGCTACAAATATAAAATTAACACCTGCAAACTTACCAAGAAGCCAACTATCTTTGTGCATCCCAGCTTCAAATTGACTACTCAAAGACTGTTGCAGCACAGAATAGTCCTGGAGGCTGCCTGGCCAGTTTGTCTCCACAGTCATTAGTGCTCCTCTGATGTCACACACCAGCAGGCAGTTTAAAGAATGCAGACCTTTGCGGTTCACATAGGACAGATCTTCAGAATTTGGTGCCTTGATTGCCACATGGATACAGTCGACAACCCCTATCACCCCTGGCATCCCTGCCAATCCATAGAATTCATCCTTCAGAGCCTGAATGGAAGCTTCATCAGCTGGAAAGTGAATGAACTGTGAGGCCCTTTCCACAAGTGCTTCCGTGACATTGGCAACACAACGACTCATAGAGGCTTGACTGATTCCAATAGCATCTCCCATCCGAGTCTGGAAGGAACCTGTAGTATAAAATCCCAATGCTGCAAGGATCTGTGTCTCTGGGCTTATAGCCCTGGATCGTTGAGTAGGTCGAGAAAGACTTGCTCCCAGGAGCTCCACCAAGTAATAAATGAACTGCCGTGGAAACCCATACATGGACATCAAGTATTCATCACTCACATCATCTAGCTTAAAACGGTCCAAGGTCCGGTGACCTCGACCATACAGCAAGAGATCACAGTCTAGCACTGTGATTGGTATAGCCATAGTAAATGTGGATGTGGTCTCTTTATGTGGTACTTTTTGTGAGGTCTTCCCAATGAAGATGTTGGTACAAGAAAAGTATTTAAGGAAGTGTCTGAATTCAACAACAAACCATCAGTTAAATGGCTCTGGCATTTATAATCTTCTCTCTGTAAAGGTTTAAAAAAAATTAGAAACCTACCAAAGACATTAAACTGCCTTAAAGGCTACAACAGTATCTTTTGAGCAAATCTATTTTGCTCAGTTAAAATATTTTGTACCAGGGTTGGAAAGGCGGCTCAGTGGTAGAGCGCTTGCCTTGCATGCATGAGGCCCTGGGTTCGATTCCTCAGCACCATATAAGCAAAAAGAAAAAAAGCTGAAAGTGGCCCTGTGACTCAAGTGGTAGCCTTGAGCTGAAGAGCTGAGGGACAGCACCCAGGCCCAGAGTTCAGGCCCCACAACCCGACCCCCCCAAAAAAAATATTTTGTATCAGTACCTATAACCCAAAGCTGCAGGACAAAGTTGATTGACTTTAAAAAGATGTGTATGGGGGGAAGGGGTGATGATCAAAATGCATTGTGGTAGGGATCACACCTATAATCCTACCTACTTAGAAGTCTGAGATCTATCACTTGAGCCTCAGCTCTACTTCTGGCTTTTTCCTGGTTAACTGGAGTCTCAGGGTAGCGGGTGACTGTGACTCACGCCTGTAATCCTAGTTATTCAGGAGGCTGAGAGCTGAGGATCGCAGTTAAAAGCCAGCGAGGGCAGGAAAGTCCATGAGACTCTCATCTCCAATTAACCACCAGAAAACCGGAAGTGGCGCTGTGGCTCGCATGGTAGAGTGCTTGCCTTGAGCTGAAGGGCTGAAGGACAGCATCCAGGCCCAGAGTTAAAGCCCATGACAGATCAAAAAAAAAAAAAAAATGCTGGTCACTGGTAGATAACTCACGTCTGTAGCCCCAAGCTATTCAGGAGGCTGATACATGAGGATCACGGTTCAAAGCCAGACCAGGCAATAAAGTCTGTGAGACTTTCATCTCCAGTTAAGCAACCTCCCCCACCCCCACCCCCAAAAGAAGCCGGAAGTGGAGCTGTGGCTCAAGTGAGAGGGCCCAGGCCCTCAGATCAAACCCCCAGAACCAACACCAACAAAGACAGAAGTCATGGCATGGCCCAGCCTGGGGACGCTTGCCCCTCACCCCAAGACATCCTAGTTCAAAGGAAGACCAGCACGTAAAAAGGAAGGGCTGAGAGCCACGTCTGGGAAGCGCCGCTTTCCCTCTTAAACCTAGACACCGAGGTGTGACCGCGCCGGCCACGCAAAGTCTGCGGAGGCTGGTCGGTCACCCACTTCTCCGCGGCTGCCAAGTTACCAACCCGCCCTCCACCCACCTACCCTACCCCGACCGGCCCTCCTCCGGAACCGGCTGCAGCACCGGGCCGCCACGACGCGCAACAGCAGCTCCGCCCCCGCCGCGTCGGCGCCCGCCCCACGCCGCGTCCTCACCATCCGCGGCCGCCGCAGCCCGCGCTTCGGCCGCCGCACATTCGACACGCAGCCCCACCGCTCTCGCTGTCCTTGCGCCTTTCTTTCTCCCTGAAAGGCTTGGGAAAAAATTACACCAAAGTCATAACTGGAGGAGGAATCGGCTTGTGTCTGGATTGTTGAGAAGTGAAAGGGATAAATACAGACTCCACGTGTGGTGAAAGTGCAGCTGGATTTAAGCAGTTGGATTTTCCTCACGGCTCTCGAACCTCCCCCTCCCCCCCTCCCGTCCCATCCTACCGCCTGCACCGAAGCGGATGAAAACAAACACTAACGATGGCGGCGCCGGGGAGCGACCGGCTGCTGGGTTGAGGCAGGAACGAGCGCTTGGCGGGAGAGGGGAGCCCTGAGGAAAACCAGTCGACCTGATTACGGCAGCCTGCTCATTCCTGAGGGCAAAAAGGTCTGGCCTACGAAGTCGGGACCCAACTTAAGGGGTTAGGAATCCGCCTGCGACCTGTGCTGTCACTCCTGCCCGAGAGACGCGAACCTTCAGCCAGGAGGTGCGGCTGGCCGGCCCCGGGCCCCGGCCTCCGTAATGAGAGCCTCGGGACACACTCTGGGCAGCTGCTTTTCAGGTACTAACTTGGAAGGCGGGGATACCCCTGGACCTCTCAGCGCCCCCGGGTGGGAGGCTATGGACCTGCGGCCCCTGGGCCGCCTCCGTCGGGAAACAGCCCCAGCCGGCCTGCCCGTGTGCAGCCCCCCGAGCTCCTCTTCAGTTTGCTTTGCGTGGTTGGGTTGGTCTAGGCCCCATTGGCTCTTCATTTCTCCCAGTCGTTATAGAGATCCCTCACAGAGGTTTTCTCTGTTATCTCCGTTCTTTAGGTTAAGTCGTAAAGTTTTATTGGAAGTCATTTTCGGGCCGAAACTCTGGGGTTGGGTAACAAACAATATGAGTGAAATAGGTTTTCATCCAATAAAGATTTGTTGAGTGCCACATATGTACTCCGCGTGTAGGTGAGGGTGACTGTTGACTAGTGAAAAAAAGGGACTCAAGGTTCACGACTCTCTTCTTACTGGCAGTGGAACGACCTGTGGAAACCTGCGATCTGTTCTCATTAAATAAATCTCTGGGTAAGTGGCTAAGCACCTTCTTGGGCTCATAATTAACACACATCTCAGTTTTCACTTTCCCAGTAATTCAGCTCCTAGTTTAGTGGGGTTAATTCAGCATAGCATTTCACTGAAAGTGTATTTGGTTGGTTGGTTGGTGGGTTTTTGAACACTGTGGTCGGGGACTCCTGGTCTCCAGTGGTACGCATACATCTGCTCCCGGAGCTATCTGAGACTGCAGGATTAACTGCCATACCTACCTTGGGAATATACAATATACATATGTGTGTATACATATATATGTATGTATGTATATATGTACACATATAGCATCGCAGGGATTGAACCCATGAACTTGCATATTATAGGTGAGCTCTCTATTTCTGAGCTATAGCCCACAAACAACACTATTTTAATATAACAACTGGTTATTCATGAGTGCTGAAGTAGCTGTCACATATACTAATCTACTAAAATATATGTAGTTGGTGCACTGTTTTCAGGTTGTAAACCTATTGGAACTTTTTTTTTTTGGTCGTTCATGGGACTTGAACTTTGGGCTTGGGCACTGTCCTTGTGCTCTTCAGCTCAAGGCAATTCACTCTACCGCTTGAACCACAGCAATTTTCTAGTGGTTTATTGGAGATAAGAGTCTCATGGACTTTTCTGCCCGGGCTAGCTGTGAACTGTGATCCTCAGATCTCAGCCTTCTAAGTATCTACTAGGATTACAGGCGTGAGCCACCGGCACCCGGCCTATGGGAACTCTTGAGATTTGAATTTCATAAATCACTGTTGACCATCATGCTTAACATCATGTATCATCATATAAGCTTTTTTTGTGTGTGTCAGTCATTTCTGGGGCTTGAACTCTAGGCCTGGGTGCTGTCCCTAAGCTCTTCAGCTCAAGGCTAGTGCTCTACCACTTGAGCCACAGGGCCACTTCTCGCTTTTTCTGTTTATGTGGTGCTGAGGAATGGAACCCAGGGCCTCATGCATGCGAGGCAAGCACTCTTCCCCTGAGCCACCTTCCTAGCCCCTCATATAAGCTTTTGAGGATTATTTCATTTGTTTAAATAAGTTGTTACTTTGTAGTGCAAGCTGACCTAGAAATAGAGATCCTCTTTTATTTGCTTGTGTACCATGTCAGTTCTAAGGAGTGTATTTAATTAAATTAATTTATTTGTATTGTAAAGGTTATATAAAGAGGGGTTACATAAGTCAGAAATCAGATTGAGTACATTTCCTTTTTTTTTTGCCAGTCCAGGGGCTTGAACTCAGGGCTGGGACACTGTCATTGGGCTTCTTTTGCTCAAGGCTAGCACTCTACCATTTGAGCCATAGTGTCACTTCTGGCTTTTTCTGTTTATGTGTTAATGAGGAATGGAACCGAGGGCTTCATGCATGCTAGGCAAGCACTCTACAGCTAAGCCACATTGCCAGCCAGTGTATTTCCTTTGAACAGTGTCACCCCCCTTTCTCCCACAGTACTGAGTCTTGAACTCAGTGGTCTGGTGCTGTCCCTCAGCTTTTTCAAGCATAGCCAGCACTCTTACTTTAGCCATACTTCTATGGATGGTTTTTTGCTAGTTGATTGGAGATATCATCTCTTTGATTTGGATGCCTCACTGGTTTGTACCGAGATCTCCGCAGACTCCAGAGTAGAAAGGATCGATCACTGGTACATAGCTAAGGAGTTTTTGTTTGTTTGTTTGTTTACTTATTTTTTGTGATGGTCCTGGGGCTTAACCTTGGAGCCTGGGCACTGTCCCTGAGCTTCTTTTGCTCAAGGCTAGCGCTCTACTTCTTGAACCACAGTGCTACTTCTGGCTTTTTTGGTTATTTAGTGGAAATAAGAGTCTTATGGATTTTCTTGCTTGGACTGGCTTCAAACCATGAATCTCAGATCTCAGCCTCTGGAATAGCTAGAATTACAGCAGTAAGCCACTGACATTGGGGTTTATTTATTTATCTTTTAATTTTTTTTTCCTGGTAATGAAGCTTGAATTCAGTGCGTAGGCTCTGTCCCTTAGCTTTTTCACTGGAGTTATACCACTTGAGCCACATCTCCACTTCAACTTTTTGCTGGTTAATTGGAGATAGCAGCATCACCGACTCTCCAGCTCTGTCTGGCTTCGAACTGCCATCCTTAGATTTCAGTCTCTTGAGTAGCTAGGATTATAGGCATGAGCCACTAGTGCCTGCCCACCCCCTTCCCCCCCCCCAGTGTCTTAAGCTGTTGTTTGTCATGGCACCCTGATCTTAATTCTTTGACACGTTTACTCAAGGAAATATTGAGATGGGATTTTAAAGTGCAGTTAAGAGTAGTCATTCTCATGTTTGAAGTAGGTCTGCTAGGAGATGGACCTAATTTTAGAAAACCTCTATCTGGATAGAAATTAGTTAAATTCTTTGCTCTGTTGTAGAAGAGTTGAGGAAGTTTCTGTTTGTTAATTAAAATTCTAAAGTTACAGGCTCCAGAAAAATTATAAAGACTACTACAGTGAGTTTTCATGATCAACCTATATTCACACTTTGATTTACTTCCCTACTGTCTTTCACGCACTGTGAATAAACAACTCCTCCTCCCTTTCCCTCCCCTGTTCCTCCTTCCCCTCTCCCTTATCCCCTTCTTTCTCTTTCCCTTTCTCCATCTTCCTTTGCCTCTACAGGCATTTAGTATTAACCCAGGGCCTTATGTAAGCACTCCACCTCTGAGTTAAAGTCCTGTAATTAATAAGTAATCTTTTCCTACAAATTATTTTCTTTTTTTTTTTTTTTTGGGTCCGGTTGTAGGGCCAGAACTCCGGGCCTGGGCGCTGTCCCTCAGCTCTTCAGCTCAAGGCTAGCGCTCTACCACTTGAGCCACAGCACCATTTCCGGCTTTTTTCTTTTTGCTTATGTGGTGTTGAGGAATCGAACCCAGGGCCTCATACATGCAAGGCAAGTGCTCTACCACTGAGCCACCTTCCCAGCCCCCTACAAATTATTTTCATTTGCCAAAAGTTGTCAGTCATTGGGCTGGAGCTCAGGGCCTGGGTGGGCAAGTCCCCAAGCTTTTTTGCTCAAGGCTATTGTTCTACCACTTTGAGTCACTCTTTCACTTCTGGTTTCTGTGGATTAATTGGAGATAAGAGTCTCAAGGACTTTCCTGCCGTGGCTGACTTTTAACCTCTATCTTCAGATCTCAGCCTCCTGAGTATCTAGGATTCTACCGGTGCTCAGCCAGACCTTCCCCTGAAGAGACTTCCTTACCAAAAGATCCTGAGCTGTGCTCACAAAAACAAACAAAACTGGGTTGCAGTGTTCTAACACAATAGCCCACTGTTATTATAAATTTCCCTACCTGGGCTGGCTTTGAATCACAATCTTCAGATCTCAGCTTCTTGAGTAGCTAAGATTATTAGTGTGACCCACCAGTACCTGCTTTAAAAGATTTTTTCCCCCTTCTGGTTGTAGGGCCTGGGCACTATCCCTGAGCCTCTTTGTGCCAAAAGCTTGTACTCTCACACTTCAGCCATAGAGTCACTTACCACTTTTGTGTGGCCAATTGGAGATAAGAGTCCTGGCAACTTTTCTGCCTGGGGACTGACCTGCCCAGGCTGGCTTTGAACTGCAGTCCACACATCTCAGCATCCTGAGTAGCTATGATTATAAGTGTGAGCCACCTTAGCCTGGCTTTTTAAAAACATTGTAGAGGTAGAAAGTGTTCTTCAAATTCTTACTACTCTTCAAAAAAGTTATTATGTCTAGTAGTGTTTTTGTATGTGCATGTGTTTTTTGTTTTTGTGCCCACACTAGATTTGATTAAGAATCTCACAGAGCGCCGGGCGCTGGTGGCTCACGCCTGTAATCCTAGCTACTCAGGAGGCTGAGATCTGAGGTTCAAAGCCAGCCCGGGCAGTAGAGACCGTGAGACTCCTATCTCCAGTAAACCACCAGAAAACCAGAAGTGGCACTGTAGCTCAAGTGGTAGAGCGCTCGCCTTGAGCTGAAGAGCTGAGGGACAGCGTCCAGGCCCAGAGTTCAAGCCCCATGATCGACAAAAAAAATCTCACAGAGCTTGTGGCTCACTCTTGTAATCCTAGCTACTCAGGAGGCTGAGATCTGAGGATCATAGTTCAAAGCCAGCCCAGGCAGGAAAGTCTGTGAGACTCTTATCTCCAGTTAATACCAGAAATCTGGAAGTGGTACTGTGGCTCAAGATAGCACCCTGGCCCAGAGTTCAAGCCCCATGACCAACCAAAAAAAAGGAATCTCATGGACTTTTCTGCCTGGGCTTAACATCAAACCATAATCTTCAGATTTCAGCCTCTTGAATAGCTACGATTACTGGCATGATTTACCAACACCCAGCCTTGCTATTGTTTCCTTAATTGCAGACAAAACTCTTACTATATCTGTAAATAGTAGTTTTGATGTTATTTTACAGTTTGTACAAGTAGCAATAAGCATACAAATATGAAATACTTACTATTAATACTCCAGAAACTCATTTACAAAATCCTGCCCTACATATCTTTTTTTTTTTTTTTTATCAGTCATGGGGCTTGAACTCTGGGCTTGGGCGCTGTCCCTGAGCTCTTTAGCTCAAGGTGAGTGCTCTACTACTTGAGCCACAGAGTCACTTTTGGTTTTCTGGTGGTTTATTGGAGATAAGAGTTCCATGACCTTTCCTGCCCAGGCTGGCTTTGAACCGTGATCCTCAAATCTCAGCCTCCTCAGTAGCTAGGATTACAGGCATGAGCCACTGGCACCTGGCCCTACATATCCTTTTATTGCAGTCTTCCCTAGTTCCTTCCTTGATCTTTGAAGCAGTCCTTACTTTCAAACGTAGTTATAGTCTGTTTCCTTTGTTAGACTCTAAACTCCGTAAGACCAAGGATATTTGAATATATTTCTGGTCAAGCATGAGAGATTTATCACCTGTATCTACTTTGTCTAACAGAAACCCTGTAACAATTACATTAAAAGAATCTGGGGGTGTGTGTGTAAACAAATAGAGATAGAAAATGGGAGCTG